TTTTTTAATCAGGTTGTTTTCTTGTTATTGAGTTCTAATATTTCTTTGTATGTTTTAGATAACAGTCCTATATCAGTTTCATCTTTTGCAAATATTTTCTCCTAGTCTTTGTTTTGTCTTCTCATTTTCTTAACAATGTCTTTCCCAGAGCAGAAGTTTTTCATTTTAATGAAGCCCAACTTATCAACTATTTCTCTCACAGCTTATGCCTTTGGTGTTATATCTCAGTTCAGTCACTCAGTCATGTCTGACTCTTTGCATCCCCATGGATGACAGCACGCCAAGCCTCCCTGTCCATCACCAACTCCTGGAGTTTACTCAAACTCAGGTCCATTGAGTTGGTGATACCATCCAACCATCTCATCCTCTGTCATCCCCTTCTCCTCCTGCCTTCAGTCTTTCCCAGCATCAGGGTCTTTTCAAATGAGTCAGCTCTTTTCTTCAGGTGGCCAAAGTACTGGAGTTTCAGCTTCAACATCAGTCCTTCCAATGAACACCCAGGACTGATCTCCTTTAGGATAGACTGGTTGGATCTCCTTGCAGTTCAAGGAACTCTCAAGAGTCTTCTCCAATACCACAGTTCAAAAGCATCAATTCTTTGGTGCTCAGCTTTCTTTATAGTCCAACTCTCACATCCATACATGACCACTGGAAAAACCATAGCCTTGACTAGATGGACTTTTATTGGCAAAGTATAATGCTCTGCTTTTTAATATGCTGTATAGGTGTATTAGTTACTATTGTTGGGGGAGTTTGTAATTTCCTCAGCTCTGTCTCGCTGGAGCAAAAATTTGAAGCGACAAACGGATCAGTGTTACAGCTCAGTTTTATTTGGCAAGCAAAGGAAAATACATCCTCAAGGCATGAGGGCAGGCAGACCCCAAAGAGGCGCAGAGTAGAGAGGAGAAGCCTGAGGCTCAATTTTGGCTCCTCTTTTTGTTTTGTCTCCTCCCCCTGAGCCTGCCCTATGTAAATTGGGCTAGCCAGGAGGGCTATTTGTTTCACCTGAGGTTCTCACGCCCATCCTTGGACCTTTCTTTGTTCCATTCTCACGGGCTCTTCTCTTCTTTATCTTTTATCCACCACTATTTTGGACTTGTTTTTCCTAATCTAACTACCTAAAGTTCCCTCCTCAAAAAAATGGGAGGCCCAATTCTTTGGGAATATGGGCATCGAGGTCTCTCTGGCTCCTTCCTGCTGAACTGGGATGGAGAGGGGCATTGGGCCTCCCCTTCTTGCCAATCTCAAGCCTCAGAATCCTTAGACCAGTGTCCATCTAGGGGTGAGTGATATTTTCTGTGGTCAGCTGTAGTTTTATATATCTTTGTTGAATTGCTACTGCATGTTATAGCTTGTTGACCTGGGCAGAGACAAGATGGGTGAGACAATTGATAATACATGGAGCAATCATAAGTAGAATCAATATGGTGATAACAGGGATTAGTAGAGGCATTAGCCAACTGCGACTTCTCCAGCACCAGTAGAAGGATCCCACAAAGAGAGACTGTACTCACCCAGAGAACTCTCCAGGTCGTTCTTTGAGATCCTGTAGGACCTGAATGTTTTTCTTGAGTACTGTGAGAGTTTCTTTAACTTAGTTGTAGGTATTTACCCAGAAACAACACATGTCATTCAAGATGGCTCAAATCCCTCCTTGTTCAGGGATCAGGAGATCCATCTCCTGTCTACTTTGGAGGACAACCCCTGCCAAGCTGTGTTGGCTCTTTAGAGCTATCCTGAGAAATCTTATCCCCATAAACTTAATTTTGGGGGTGTTCACTAGAATGGTGCTCATTCGTAGTCCTGAATAGGTATCTGAGATCTCCCAGGGGCTCACAGGTGTATTGAGTGTCCTTCTGTTTTCTTCCACTGCTTGACTCATGAGTGGTGAATCCAGGAGTTGTGTCCTGGTACCCTGACTGCTGTGGGTAGAAAGTATTACAGGGTAGGGGCCCTTCCATGTAGCTGCAGTTGAGCCTTTAGGGACCCATCTTTCCAGACTTTAATTAGGACTTGAGTCCCTGGACTCATATAGTGGTGGCTCTTCAGAATCCTTTGGGAAAAAAAAAATAAGAAAAGAATCCTTTGGGTCCTGGTTGACACCCTACAAGCATATATCCTGCCAGAATTGCCCAATGGCCTTGGTATAAGACCAGAGGGTCTGAGCCTCTGGATCTAGGAAGAGGCCATAACATAAAGCAAAGGTCTCCCATAGAGCATCTCATGAGGACTCAGACCACCCTGTTCCTTAGGGGCAGTACAGGTGTGGAGGAGAGCTCTTGGGAAAGCCTCCTTCCATCCAGGGAGTTCTCCTGGGTTATCTTTTTTATCACCGATTTTAAGAACTGGTTGGCTCTTTTACTTTTCCTGAAGACTGAGGCCTTCAGACACAATAGAGATAAAAGTAATAGCCAAAGCTTTAGAGACCCCTTGGATGAACTTAGAAGTAAATAATGTCCCATTGTCATTTTGTAATGACCTGGGCAGGCCAAATCTCGGAATGATTTCATGGAGCAATTTTTTAATCACCTCCTCAGCCTTCTCAGTCTGGGTGGGAAAGCCTTCAATACATCCTGTGAATGTATCTGTCATGAATAATAGGTAGAGATAGGCTCAATACAGGACAGAAATGGTATGAACCTAACAGAAGCAGAAGATATTAAGAAGTGGTAAGAATTCACAGAAGAACTGTACAAAAAAGATCTTCACAACCCAGATAATCACAATGGTGTGATCATTCACCTAGAGCCAGACATCCTGGAATGTGAAGTCAAGTAGGCCTTAGGAAGCATCATTACCAACAAAGCTAGTGCAGGTGATAGAATTCCAGTTGAACTATTTCAAATCCTAAAAGATGATGCTGTGAAAGCGCTGCACTCAATAGGCCAGCAAATTTGGACAACTCAGCAGTGGCCACAGGACTGGAAAAGGTCAGTTTTCATTCCAGTTCCAAAGAAAGGCAATGCCAAAGAATGTTCAAACTACCACACAATTGCACTCATCTCACATGCCAGCAAAGTAACGCTCAAAATTCTCTTACCCAGGCTTCAACAATACATGAACCATGAACTTCCAGATGTTCAACCTGGATTTAGAAAAGGCAGAGGGACCAGGGATCAAATTGCGCTGGATCACATGAGATCTTTGGCTGTGGCACGTGACCTCTTAGTTGCAGCAGACAGCATCTGAGCTCTGGTTCCCTTACCAAAGATCTAACCAGAGTCCCTGCATTGGGTACGTGGAGTCTTAGCCACTGGATCTCCAGGGAAGTCCCTATTTTAGGATGTAACTTGCCAATATTTTGTTAGAGATTTTTGCATCTGTGTTCATGAGAGATATTTTAATTTGCATCCATAATTTTCTTGTAATGTCTGTCTGAATTTAGTATCCAGATAAAATGAGCTCACAAATGATTTAGGACTTATTCTTTCCGCTTCTATCTTCTGGAAGAGATTGTAGAGTTAGTATAATTATAATTAATTCACAAATTATAAATTATACAGTCACAATTATATATTAAATTATGTCATGTATTTTAATTATAATTTCTTCAATGTTCGGTACAATTTGCCAGTAAATCCATCTGGACTTTCTTTTGCTTTTTAGGGTACAGTCTGGCCAATTTTTTAAGCTGTTTCTTGGACTCAAGTTAAGCCCATTGAGGGGTTCAGAGCCTCATTCTCCTCCACCATCCCATCCACTCTAATCCTGACGTTTATTTCCACCTTCTCTCTGTGCCGCCTCACTGTTGTTTTTGTTCTGCATTCTCCTCCTTGAAGCTCTTGTCTTTTCACTTTTCCACTAATCTCTGCTTTGCTTTCCATGGGCCCATTTCAGGCAGTTCTCAAGGCTGTGTATAAACGGAAAGTTAATCAGCTGACAGTTAAGAATCATGGCTTTTTCCAGGAATGCTGGTTTTCCTTTGTGAGTCTGGGGCTCCCTTCATGGGTAAGCCGACCACCAAACTGAGCGCTGGATTTCTGAAAGCTGAGAGAATGATTGAGTACTGTGTCAGATGTTGTGTCAGGAACCTCGTTGAACCTTATTTTGGTTAATCCTCGCAACAGCCTTTGGATAGAAGTATCTCCTTTTGATAAAGAAGGAAACCGAGGCTCAGAGCTAAGCTCTGAAAGCAGTCTGTGCTGAGCTGAGATTGCCAGATGCTTGTCACAAAAGCATCAGACCCTGGGAGGGTGTGTGCGCCCATGCCTACACGCACATGTGTGTAAAAGAAGTATTTCATTAAACACATTATTTTTTTGTTGATTTAAGCTGACAATTTGTATTTAGAATGATTTTGCTATATTTTCTATCTTTTGGCAAAAGCCCTTTGCTTCAAAATAATTGGATGGAATGTGCAAAACTTCTGTTTTCATAAAGTCTGTTGTTTATTACCAAGCAAAAAGTTAACTGCAGGATTGTTTTTTACCAGTAACAGACACCAGAGGCCCTGCGTGGAACCAAGGTCTGGTCACAGGTCCCTGCTCCAAACTCTGTCCTCTCCCTAAACCACAGGTTTCTGTATTCTAATACCCTCAAAAGAGAATTAAACAGTCATTAGCTACTGTATGGGGCTTCCCTGCTGGCTCAGATGGTAAAGAATCCGCCTGCTATGCAGGATACCCAGGATCAGGAAGATCCCCTGGAGAAGGGAATGGCAACCCACTCCAGTATTCCTGCCTGGACAATCCCCATGGAGCCTGGTGGGCAACAGCCGGTGGGGTCACAAAGAGCTGGACACGACTGAGCAACTAACACGAACTAAGCTACTGTATCTGTTTCTGATGGTTTTTTCTTGGGGAGGGAAAGGTGAGGATGGGGTAGGTTTTAAAGAGGAAGGAAAGAGTGACAAAGGAAAGAAAGTTGGCAGCTTCCCCTAAAGCTAACTCTCTCTGTTCAGCGCACACACCACTCACCATCTCCTTGTGGCTGATTCAAGGGTACAGATCCACGTGCTCAACTCAGTATCTTTAAATGAAGAATTAACTGAAAACTTCAACTTGAGGTGAGCAAGTACATGATAAGTTTATTTTGGGAAAGAAGCTAAAATAGCTCTGACTTTACTTGGCTGCCTGAAAATCTTCCAGCAGAAAATTTTCATTTTATTAATGAATTAAATGCACAAAATATAAAACTACATTTTATGCTTACTTACATATAAGTGGCAATGAAATTTATAAAATGAGAGAACTGTCTCTGTAGTAAAACATTTTTGTTAAGACTACTAAATTAAGTATTTAAACATTTTTACTTAATGCAAAACAATAAATGTTCACTATTATGAATTTCGGTTTATGCAAAAAATATTGTCAAATATTTAAAACTTAGAAAATGCTGCAATGTTTTTATATTAAATGTTTAAAAATTCAAGGTATAACAAATCAATCTTTTTCTTAATATAAACTGTATCACAATATTCTGGAATTAAATGCTCTTTTGTAACAGAAAAATTATTTCTACAAAAATTTCAGGACCAAAACAGTAAAAAAGCTTTTGGGTGAGTTTTTTCCAGTTAAGCATCTAAACCGTCGATTTCAGATTTCAGTAGAAGTGGGATCCACAGAGGCTCACACAGAAGGAGGTGACGTGATATCTACTGCGGATGCAGAGGAAGCAGCCCTGACATCCTAGGCCAGCAAGGTGCAGCAGGGCAAAGGCCACTCGCCCACCATCCCAGAGAGATGCAAGAAACAAAACCGACGCCAGCACCCCCAGGCAGCAGGGAGGTCACATCTGTTCTAAGACGATCACTGTAAGAATCTGTTAAAAAACTGTAACAGGGGACTTGTGACTGTAGCCATAACATAGATCCAGGATGCCCTTTACATCCGCGTTTATTTGAGCTCCACGGGCGTTGAGTTGGGTGGAGGTGGTGCTGAACCTGCAATGTAAAACAAGGAGTTGATGAGTAAAGATATCAAGATGGCCTGTTTTGCAATTTAAACATCTAACCTATTAATTGTATTTTTTTTCTGCAAGGTAATTTTTTTTAATATGTATCATCTTTTTTTTTTTTTAATAGGTAAGAAGTGGGTTTATTTAGAAACAAGCTCCCCAGACAGAGTGTGGGCCATCTCAGAAGGTTGAGAGGCCCATGTGTACCATTTTTAAAAGTCTTTACTAAATTTGTTACAATATTGTTTCTGTTTATGTTTTGGTTTTTTTGGCCAGGAGGCAGGTGGCATCTTAGCTCCCTGATCAGAGATCAAACTTGCAACCCCTGCATTGGAAGGGGAAGTCAACCACTGGACTGTCATGGAAGTCCCTAACCTATTATTTTAAATAAAAGAAAAGAAATGTCTCTGTACTGATTTACTAAAGTAGTAATCCTATTTACCGGATTATAACTGTAGTCTACATAAAATTCTAGTGTACTGTCCTACCCTCAAGGCACTAATCGCGTGTCAGAAACATCGGCTTCCAACTCGCAGGCAGCTGGTGGTCCCCGAGTCAGTCCTGCACGTGCTGAGAAGACTGCTGACCAAAAAATGCTGAGCGCATTGAGGAGTGGGGCTGGGCAGGGGGCGGCTCAGCGCCATCCGGTTGCCCTGCCCCAGCGGAGGCTGCGGGCCCACACCCCGGCGCGGTGCCCTGCACACCGTCCCAGGGACGACATGCTGCCACTCAGCTAAAGGCATGGGTCTGGCAGTGTCAGAAGCACCTAGCGGGGCTGCAAAAATTGCAGTGAGAAACAATAGTTCTGTGTCTAGTTGAAGGAAAACCCATTCAAGAAGACGTGATAAGGTCTAGGCTTGCAGCGGCTGGCTGCGGTGGAGCGCAGGGAAAGGTGGTGCTTTCCATGGAAAGAAAAGGAATGCTCTGGGTGGGCGATTGCTGTTTATCAAGTGAAAAGCCGGGATGGGCAGGAGGAGAACCAGGAGACCCTGGGCAGAGTGTGACGGAGGTCAGCCGCAGCACAGAAGTCTTGGTGAGGGAGGGGGAGGGTCGGCAGGCAGGGACACTCAGCGACCCAGAAAATGTGCAGAGGCCGGTTGGCTCAACTGCATGGTGCTTCTGCCAAGTTACAGGGCCTTTCCTGCCTACTCGGTCTTATACTAACTTTGAACTGTGAAAAATTTCCTCTGAGGTTCAGAGGGTCTTGCTGCAAATTCAAACACATGGATATTATATAACACGTGCAATGATTTACTTCCCAGTAGAAAGTATATAACCTTAGACTAATGTCCAGTAATAGTTCTTTAATCAGATAAGATATTTTGGTGGTGGTGAAGTAAATTCTGTCTACTTAAGACCATGCAGAAAAACAATGCTAAAACCCCTCGGAGACCCTCCGTAGGTGGGCCTTGGTGCCTGCCACATCTGTATTTAAATTGGGGTCCTCTCGTGGCCTTTCATTTGTACTCTGTTGCTAAGTCGCATCTGACTCTTTTGCGACCCCATGGACTGTGGCCTGCCAGGCTCCTCTCTCCATGGGATTCTGCAGACAAGAATACTGGAGTGGGTTGCCATTCCCTTCTCCAGGGGATCTTCCTGACCCAGAGGTTGAATCTGTGTTTCCTGAGTGGCAGGCGGATTCTTCACTGCTGAGTCATCTTGGAAACCCCTTTCACTTCTTTACCATTATTTAAACCCACAGCTCTCTCACGGTGCCTAATAAAATGTACGTCTCTAAAGTGAACTGAAATATGCTCTATCTTGTGTGATCTGCATAAAAGACTCATCTTATTGTAGTACTGTAAGTGGTCCTTCTTTCGCTGTCCCCGGGCTGTGTCACTAGAACTCGACTTTTTAGAGGGGTAGATGGCACCAGCTTTTATAGTCAGGACACCAGCAGTTTGGAGAGGGATCTCACAGGCTTCTGAGCTACATCAGCTTCAGGTTCAAGAACCACATCCATGGACTGTTCTGTGTGTCTGAGACACGTTTTATATTTGGACAAAGGTCAGTTTCTCTAAAAATACTCACTCGGAGGAGAAGACTCTGGAATAAAGAACAAGTAGATCAGTTTTTCAATTCAATAAAACAGGATGATTTTAAAAGAACTACTTTTAATAATTACTGAAAACTGTGGAGGGAGGGTGTCATTAAGACAGTGGCTCGAGCAGCGAGGTGCCCACTGGATGGGAAGGTGCACAGAGATCACACATAAAACATCACATAAAACTCCTGAGATGCTTGAAGGGACACAGCACAGTTCCTTCCTCCTTAATCAGAGAACTGAAGCCTCAGGGTGAACCTAAGTTTCCTAAAGGTAAATGGTCAATAATTCCTAGAGCTACATACTCCGGGAGACAGTGAAGGCCAGGCAAGCCTCGCCTACTGCTGTCCATGGAGTCGCAGAGTCGGACATGACTTGGCGACTGAACAACAGAAACTAAACGTAGCAGATAGACTTGAACATGGACGCAGCCAAAAATGAGACCAACTGTCCCTGTGACTGCGACGGTTATAGAGTTTCTGGATAGCAAATGTCAGGGAAAGGACTAAACTGTTAACATCTAAAGTTTAATGACGAAGTGTAAAAAGTGCTGACAGTGGCACAGCTTCAACCTGAGCTGCTAGTGGTTTTCACAGCCATGGCTTTTCCGAAGCTGCCTCAGAGAAGACCAGTCATTGCGGGAATCAGAACCTTTTGGATCCAGGAGACTAAAACCGATGTTATGTGTGTGGTACAACACAAGAAACATCAGAATTTTCAACTGAAAGAAAATGTAAAGCTACAGAAATAATGACTTTTGCTATTCATCTGAACAGAGGAAAAAAACAAAATACGTATTATCCTCGTGTGCCTGTAACCTCAATACTTCCCGTAGGTTTTTTATGTGACTTTTGGATCTCTCATTATGATACAGTTAATGAGACAAGGGGTCTCGGTGGCCACGCTCCTCACCTGGGGCTTCCCTGGCGCCTCTGGGAGCCTCTGGGTCTGGGGGCGGCTCAGCTTCCAGTGGTGATGGAGATGAGACAGAGGATCGAGGAGTCTGTGGGGTCCTCTTATCTGAGTCCGCTTGCTGCTGTAACCACTCATCCTTATATCCATTGCTAATCAGTTTGGAAAAGTTTGTAGGTGAACTGGGTCTTTGACCAGGTCTCAAAAAGAGAAAAATTAAGCACTTAAGTACAAAGGTGAATGAAAATGCAGAAGCAAACATATTCATGTTAAGTTACATATGTTATTGTTCCTAAAGACATCATAGAGATGGTTCTCTTCTCTCCCTGCCTCTCTCTCCACCTGTTTCTCAATCTTTCTCCACTTTTAAGCATAAAGAAGTGACCACCAAGCATCTCCTGGACACTTCTACTTAGTTCGGCTCACACTTAGCTCAGCTTCCAAAAGCCTTTCTTCAGAACAGCCAATGAGAAGAAGCTGAATTCCAGCATTCTCCAGAGAGCTTTCTCCTGAAAGCACTCTCCCATCCCTGGGCAGGGATGAGTGACTCAGACTCTACCACTTTGCAACAAGTTATTATTATTTCCTTAATGAGTTCTGCCCAGTTCACATTACAGATTATCTTCTGCTTCTTTGCACAGCTTTGCCTTCTATTCACCTCTGTGGCTGTATCTTTACAGACCTTATTGCAACCTACGTTTGGAGGCAAGGAGATCGACATGGCCAAAGCAGCACGGACTCAGGTGTCAAACAGGGCACGTACATCACCTTTTCCTCTGAGCCTCGGGTTTCTGACTTGTGAATCACTCTGTTGTTGTTAGGGGTCTTCCTAACGGCTCTGAATGGCTCCCTGTTTGTGTGTATAGACAGAGAGATAGACATGGAAATATAGATGTATCTATATATCTATAGATATATATAGAAATATCTATATAGATATAGATAGATGGTAGATAGATGGGGGTATGGATGGGTACACAGGACAGAGAGATGGATGACAGATAGATAGGGGGACAGACAGAAGGACGAATGGATAGAGAGATGGACAGTTAGGCAGGTGATAGAATGTTTTTGCCCTCATGGTGTGAGTGTGGTGCTCTCATGACATTTCACACATAATATGACTGATTGATCGCTCCCCTTCCTCTCCGCACACTAGAGGAGAAGCCATTTGAAGAATCAGTCGGACAATTAACGGCATTAGTTCTGGCGCTAAAATGGGATTCTGGGAAAGTGAAGAGAAATAGCAGGCATCAGGGGCCCTCTCCAGCTGGGCGACTACCCTAACGTCAGGGCACCTGATGGATGCTCCAGCGGAATGCAGAGTCAGAGGCTCACTTGGCATGGACCCCAGGGGTCAGGCCCCAGGGACAGAAGGTGGCAGGACTGAGTGGCGCACACGTATCAGGACGAGTGGTCCCAGGTTGGCAGGTTGAGCCTGGGTGAGGGGGTTCCCGAGAAGGGGAAGGCAGGACTCGGGCTGATGGAGGAGAGAACTCAGCCCGGCGCTCACAGGCACCCGAGACGAGAAGGGGAGAGAGGGGCCACAGGGCCCGGGAGCATCAGGAGGGAAGGGAAGATGGGAAAAGAGGCCAGCGGACAGGCCGGGCCTCCGGAGGCTATGCAACTGCAGCGACACCCCCGAAGCCTACTGCTGGGAGGCAAACAGCCTTAGGCGGCATCCGCCTCGGGTGTGGAGTGTGGTTGTCACCTGACCAAAGACCAGATCCACACTGAATCCAGACTGCGCTGCCCAGCCCCTGCACTTACATGGGTGGAAAGGACAGTTTGCTTCCTGCAGGGTCTCTGTGGCCAAGAGGGGTCCCCACTTTGCTTGGATACTTAGACTTGATGGCTGGCAGCCTCACCTGCAGAGAAGGGAATGGCAAACCACTTCAGTGTTCTTGCCTTCACAACCCCATGAACAGTATGAAAAGGCAAAAAGATAGGACACTGAAAGATGAACGCCCCAGGTGGATAGGTGCCCAACATGCTATGGGGGAAAAGTGGAGAAATAACTCCTGAAAGAATGAAGAGATGGAGCCAAAGCAAAAACAACGCCCAGCTGAGGATGTGACTGGTGAATTAGAAGGTGGTTAAACAAGAGATGGCAACAGTGAACATTGACATTTTAGGAATCAGTGAATTAAAATGGACTGCAATGGGCAAATTTAACTCAGATGACCATTATATCTACTACTGTGGGCAGGAATCCCTTAGAAGAAGTGGCGTAGCCATCATAGTCAGAAAACTGAGTCCAAACTGCAGTACTTGGGCGCATTCTCAAAAATGACAGAACCGTCTCTGTTTCTAAGGTAAACCAGTATCACAGTAATCCAAATCTATGCCCCAACCGGTAATGCTGAAGAAGCTGAACGGTTCTAAGAAGACCTTATAAGACATTATAGAACTAACACCCCCCAAAAATGTCCTTTTCATCATAAGGGGACTGGAATGCAAAAGTAAGAAGTCAAGAGATATCTGGACTAATGGGAAAATTTGGCTTTGGAGTACAGAATGAAGCAGGGCAAGGCTAACAGAGTTTTGCCAAGAGAACGCACTGGTCATAGCAAACACCCTCTTCCAACAACACAAGAGAAGACTCTACACATGGACATTCACCAGATGGTCAATACGGAAATCAGATTGATTCTATTCTCTGCAGCTGAAGATGGAGAAGCTCTATACAGTGTACAAAAACAAGACTGGGAGCTGACTGTGGCTCAGATCATGAACTCCTTGTTGCCAAATTCAGACTTAAATTGAAGAAAGTAGGAAAAACCACTAGATCACTCAGGTATGGCCTAAATCAAATCTTTTATGATTATACAGTGGAAGTGACAAATAGACTCAAGGGATTAGATTTGATAGGCAGAGTGCCTGAAGAACTATGGACAGAGGTTTGTGACATTGTACAGGAGGCAGGAATCAAGACCATCCCCAAGAAAAAGAAATGCAAAAAGGCAAAATGGCTGTCTGAGGAGGCCTTACAAATACCTGACAAAAGAAGAGAAGCTAAAGGCAAAGGAGAAAAGGAAACATATACCCATTTGAATGCAGAGTTCCAAAGAATAGCAAGGAGAGATAAGAAAGCCTTCCTCAGTGATCAATGCAAAGAAATAGAGGAAAACAATAGAATGGGAAAGACTAGAGATCTCTTCAAGAAAATTAGAGATACCAAGGGAACATTTCA